TAAATATGTAGCCAGTTCATTCATGACAAAGAAGCCAAGAACAGACAATGAACAGTCATGGGAAAAGTCGCGTGCAGAAGGCTGTAGCTGGACCCCTATCAAATGCATTAAAACTTAGATAAAAGACCTGAAATCATGTGTCAGGAAGAGCCCGCCAGGGATAAGCTCCTTGACAGACTGGGCAGTGTCTCTGTCACGGACAACAAACCAACAGGACTACATCAACCTGAAGAGCCTCTGCACCGCCCAGGAAACCGTCCACAACATGTAAAGGAAACCTGCAGAGCAGGAGAACGTATCCGCAAGCCACATGTATAGGTCTGGGTGCAGATATAGGTCTGTTACCCTGGAATCTCCTCTGGGTGTTAGGAGTTGGTGGCGGTATAGAAGAAACAAAACTAGATATGGGTTGGTTTAAATGGAAACGGGTGATTTGAGCAATATCACACAACTAGTAAGCTCCACACTCAGAGCTCCAAACTCTGATTCCAGAGTGGACGATCTGTTTAATGTGCAAGTGCGTCTCTCACTGTCCGGCGCAGACACCGCTGACGCCCGCTTGGGGGGTGACAGCTGCCGCGCTGCCTGGCTTTGCCGCGGTTTCTCCGTCTGAAGTATACGGTGGGACAAACCTTGTAAGTATTTATGGATCCTAATAAAGTACGGTGCTAAGTAAAAGCAAACTTAACCACAGGGCACAGCAAATAGATGTTTCAAACAGCGTTTCTTTCTGAATCGGAGGCCGTCAATACACTGTATTCCTAACGCTAGGGCCTGTAGAAAGAAAATGAGCCTAAGTCTGTCACAGAAATAAACAATTCCTTAAAAAATGAAGATTCTGGCCCTCCCTGGTGGCGCAGCGGGTTAAAGTGCAGCACTGAGAAGCTCAAGCCACTTCCACATGAGTTCGATTCCCGCCTGCCCCGGAGGAGACCACAGGGCGCCGACCACAGACCTCTCCTGACCCGCCCGCTGCTCCCCTCAGCAGTGGACTTCGTCCATCTGCCTGTTCTGCTCCCCACTCTGTCTCTGGTAAAGCCTCCACATCTCTGGCCTGTACCCCAGTTCTGTATGTACAAATAAATAAATCTTAAAAAAATAAATGAAGATTCTAAGACAACATATATTGTACGACTTTCCAAGTCTTAACAAGGACCATCATTTTGACTTGTATTTGTCTTACTGTGCTAGTGACTCATGACGCCAGAAGGGAACCCTGCAGCCCCAAGGACCCCACGGCAAGACTTCTCAGCACCCCTGTGGTGTCAGACAAGCGGCCTCTCCAAGGATGAACAAAGGAAAGTGTGTATCGGAGGCCAGGGCTATCACCTTAACTGCAGTGACAGTTTTAAAGTCAGGTAAACTGGGTATTAAGTCATTCATATCCCAGTGGGAGAGTGTGTTAGACTACTGCTTTGAGGAAAGAAGCTTCTAGAGCTGGAACTAGCGTAAAACACAAGTTTCTTCTGAAACATTGCCAAAACACGAATTTCAAAACCGATTGAGCTTGTACATCAAGGCAGCAAGCACGGATCACATTCTTGAGGAAAAGACATTTCAAATAAATGTCATGTTCTTATTGGGTGAAATTATAGGTTCGTTCAGGAGAACGAAAAGCAAAAAGGCTTCCCTCCCTCCATCGCTTTCCTGCCATTCTTGCCTTCAAAAACGATAATCTAGTAACAAAAGCAACACACCCGCATTAACATAATTAAGTTTATTACGATTCTATGACATCCAGATGCAAATCAAAGCTGAGCAAGGACTCAAAAGAAGGCCCCAGCTGTGCCATGTAAAAGTTCTCCGGACATTGCTTGCGTGGTAGAGTCATCACATTCCAAGATGTTGCAAGTAAATAGCTCAGCAGGAAAAATGAAGCACTGTGGGCATGAATATTAAATCAAAAATAGTTTCCCGTGTTCTCCACAACCTGCTGGGTGAACCGGACAGAAGGCCCGACAGTACAGAAGGCGGCTGCGCGGAGTCCTTCCCAGGCAAGGCCTGACTGCGGCCTCTCTCCGGCGGATGTGACATTTAATGCAGACGCCAGTGTGTAATGGCTGGGAAGTGCACGCTCAGGGGCAGTAAAAGGCAAAGCATTTCCACAGGTAAGCACAGGCTTAACATACCAGTGGCCCTGGTGAACTAAAGGTAATGACAGAAAGGGGCCGGGAGCCGGGCGAGATGTTGCCTCCAGGTGCACATAACCCGACTCCGGTTCTAGGCCCGCCAGGTGAGTGGCCTTCGGCAGGGACCGGCCTCTTGACTTTCAAACACTTAGCTATAACAGGGGAAAGAAGATGCTGATACTATATCCTAAGTCATTCCCTTGGGTCACTGTGAGGAATCCTGGCCAGGCCCTGGGCAGAGTACTTGGTAATATTAGCCTCATGGCCTCATTGCTTACGTGGGGAAAAAAAAAAAAAAGATTCCTACCTGAAAAAGACCTTGAAAGAGAGCCTCATCAATTAGACACTGCAAGCTGAGGGGATGAGGCAAGGTCATTCTGCAACCTTCCCCATCAATGGTTTGATCTCTCTTAAGAACAGAAAAAAGAACCTGATGCGGTACCAAGCACAACTTCACCCATTCACTTGACAGTCATCAATGACTTACCAGGTACCAAGAACTGTGTCCCAGATGAGTGTATGGTAAACCTGTGCTGAGCTTCTGAGACAGAAGACCTAGAGGGTGGTAACTATTCACAGCAACCTTCAGCGCTGGAATTTACCACACACACACACACACAAAAAAAAAAATTGGCTCTCTCTGGATAGATTTAAATATTATTTGCTGACAAAAGAAAACAGAGGGAGAAAAGTTTTGAGAGCGTAAGGAGTAAGGTCAGCCTGAGATGAGCTGAATCTGATGAATCTGAAATTCCGCTGAGAGATCGAGATGGTGAGGCCTGAGTATACCGAGTACAGGCAACCCGGCGAGCCTTGCAGAAACCTCAAGTTTGGAAATCAACCGTAGCTGACACTGGGTAAGTGATGAGAGAAGATGAAATCAACAAGTCGGACGTGTGGATAAGGGAGTCGTGCCAGCACAGGAAAACATCAAGGCGGGCAGAGAAAGAGGACAGCAGAGGACAGCAGAGGACAGCAGAGGACAGCAGAGGACAGCAGAGGACAGCAGAGGACAGCAGAGCGCGTTCTGGAGGCCGAGCAGAGCAGAGCACTGTTTAGCACGCCGGTGACAGAAGGGGATCGAGCTGGAAAGGGTGGCCGGGGCCACTCAGATTTCTAAAACTTAGGCCCAAACAACTCACTACGGTCATCGTCGTGAGGGAGCTCACCGAGGTAACGAAGGGCCAGTCGACAGCCTGCCACCTCCGCCGCGGCCGCCGGGCCGTCTGGTCGCACCGCGCGAGCAGCCCCGTCAGACACGCAGCGCTTCCGAGAACCTCAAGCTCCAGCAAGTTCTGAGTGTGTGATTTTCTGCTTTGACGCGAAGTGTTTTCTCCTGGAATGACTCTCCGCCGCTCCAATATTGTTTCCAAAATGTTTTAAGATAAATGTTCTAACACCGCCAGCGCTGGGCGGCTTGCGAGGACACCGAGTGTGCACACACCACACACGGCGTGGCCGCTCCTGTGCCACTCGGCAACGCCCAGGACGCACGGGCGCGCTCCTGCCCCGAGGGCCTGCAGCACCAGCACAGTGCCCGGCACGGCAGGGGCTTCCCAGCCGCCCAGAGAGTGACTGCGCTGGCAAGCAGAGTTCTAAATGCTAGCGTGAACTACGGAAGGAGACCCTAGCACCTAGCATCCCTGTCTCCGCGGACTTTTCCCCTTAACTGGATCAATGTTCCCATAACTTCTTAATCAGGTAGGAAAGCAAGACAGATCAGCTGCTCTCTGAAACCCTTCCAGAACCGACTCCATGAAAAGCTGATAAAGACTATTCGTAGCAGAAACACCGCGCGCAGAAATCAGAAACCTGGGTCTGCAGCTACTCTGTGCCCTGAGCAAGTCTAGGCACCTCTCTGGGTCTTGGATCTCCCTCCTAAAAGAAGGCTTTTGCATCCAATAGACCCCCGAGTTTTTTCTGGAGGAAAACATTGTAGGGGAAAGAGGAAGTATGTATATAAATAAAAGGATTTATTTACACTGCTATCTTTCACCTACAGCCTTTCCCTTAGTCCCAGCTAAAAGCTGTACGGCTGTTTATAATTTTAAAGCGCAATTTATATTCACTTATTGGTAATTACAAAGCCATCCCCAGTTATTATTATTCCATCCTATAAGCAACAAGAACCGAGACCAGGAAAATGAAACGATAGACAGAGATACATTTTCTGAGAATATATGTAATGTATATAGCAATACTACAGGGTATCGCTCATTATTTGAAAAAGTGATTCAACATGTCCACACCCTTTTCCAATGCTGCGTTTTGAAGACAGATAAAAGAAAAAATACAGCGATAGCACAGTTTTCTTCCTTCGACGTCATCGCTGATAACAACCGTCATGAATCGGAAGCTACTATTTCTATTACCACAGGCTTCAGCTGTCTGCATTATCATAGAACTAGGGAAAAAGTCATTCACAGGTATATTTTGTTTTACTCGAAAAGGAATCATTTGATTCTACCAATGTCATTAATGTTTCACGAGACTGTCATTAGTCAGAAGTGGAAAGCCGCATAGCTCAATGCTCACCAAGCATTTAGCGTCTCACTAGTGTCCTAGTGATGGTCTCGGACGCCACCGGACTGCGGCCAGTGTGCTGGTCCCGGCCCCAAAACACCATTTCTGACACCTCCAAGAGCTCGAGAGGGAAATGAGCCTCAGAGCATTTCAGCCTGAGCTTAAAATCCAGAAAAATATACACTTTAGCTAACATTTCTTTGGGAGTTGAAGCTTTTCTTTTGCAACTTCAAGGAATAAGTACTTGAGCCCATGAATAAATTTTTCAGGTTTTCCTGAATGCTAGTTCTGTACCTCAGGACTTAAAGGTTTTCCTAAAACAAAAGTGGTGACGCCATGAGAACCCACCTGTGGGCAGTCCGGAGCACAGTGAGCGCCCTGGCTGCTGAGGGGCTCCTGGTGAGACAACTCTGGCGTGAAGAAAGAGCAGCTACTTAGGACGGCAGCCAGGATCTGAACCAAGCAGTAGCAGTTCTCTGGCCAGCGCTGCAGCGTAAAGCAGGGCGAGTCTCATTTTCCAACAAATCAGGAGAACTGTTTCCCCACGACCGGCTCTGAAGCGGGTGCGGGGCTCAGCTGCGGCTGGGTCTCGGCGCCAGCCTCCTCCCCTGGCTTGGGCCGCAGCATCCCACCCTCATCCCCGGTGGCCGTGAGGTCACAGGCAGCTCCGTGTCGTGCCAATGCAGCCGCTGCTGCTATCTCCGGGACACGCAACGACGATGGCCACGAAAAGGAACTGACGCAGACCTGTCGAATAAAACATGAGCGATCGCTTCGAACACTTACAGAGCGCCTGACCCGAGTCTACGTCTGGCTTGGGGACACAGCGAGGCACAAGACGCACGCCTGGCCCTCGGGCCGGCCACAGCGGAGGCGAGCGCCAGGGGGTCAGCGTGGACGCGCACCGGCCGGCCGACAGCTCGTGGGCTCTCAGGGCGTTCAAGCCAGTTATCGCCTCCGCCACGGAGAAAGCAGGTGTCGGAAATGGCCGGGACCCCGCAAGGGCCACAACAGCCGGGGCAGGGTCACCACGGGGTCCATCCTGGCTTTAGTTTCGGGGAGACGTGACGGAGTGTCTCAGCCCTGGGAGTTTTCGCCAAGCGCTGCCCCTGGCCCTGTGTC